TATTTTCATGAAATATTACTTTTATCATTTTCTTGATTTTAGAAAATTGTAATTTGTGGTATTTTTGCATAGATGTTTCTACCTTAAAATAAATATTTTTACAAAAATATACAAATTTATACGAAATAATAAAAATTTCTACAAAATTTCAATTTTTGTAGTTTTTTGTAGTTATTCAAAATTTTTTCCGCCAGGGATATTTATTCGTATAATTAAACAATATCATATTTTGATCACGTTTATAATACTGACTCCGAGAAATAGACTGCATACGTCTTCATAATTACCTGTAAAATAAAACGATGAAATAATAAGAAAAATTCCTGTGTTATTTCGAATATGTTTTTTCGACAAATATTATTCGCGTTGCGGCTGGAATACGACGGGATGTCGGGTGCAGGAAAATCAGACTGGAAGTACAATCAATTCGCGTCTACGGCACAACAAAAAAGTTTATTATTTACACTATATTTACAAAAAAAATACAAAATAGAAAAATTGACAGAAATGCTTTCGCGGATCTGCGTGTAACCGGCACGACCGTACGACAGTCGCGGGGTAACGTATTTGTCAAGTTAATCACGTAACACGGGCTTGGTTCGATTGCTTACTTACGAGTTTAACTTACGAGTGGCGTGGAACACCCAATAACAGTCCGGGATTTTATTCCTCGTGCTCCAGGATACTCGCGAGCGTTAAGAGGATCCTAAACCCTAGATCAAACTCCAAAAATCCGCTGTTTTACCGACAATTTGTGAGTATGTATGCGTGCGATATTGATGTAGTAGTGTGTAGTGATGTGTCATGTTTATTACCACATCAATATATCTCACGCATACATATACACAAATTTGTCGGTTACCAATATATCTTTATTTAGGCTTCTATACTTAATTCTAACGACTCACATATACTCATTTCTTTATTGTACATCTGGCTCTGCCTTCATTTCGAGCATATAACCTGCCTAACTTTTCCACGAAGTAAACGTTTTGGTAAATTGATAGCATTAGTCGCCATGTTGAGGTTAAAATGGATAACGAAATCTGTAATTATTTCATTTTTTCCCGTTTTTGGTACAAAATGCACCAGAGCCAGATACATTAGCATGTGTGT